ATATATTTAAATATTCAGAATCCTTTCTCAGATGAAACCTTTCCTACATCTGTAGAGCAGAATGGCTGAGAACAGGGGCTTCTCAGATGGCTAGAGCTAGGTTTTAGTCTATTCATTCATTAGTTATATAAATGTGGGTGCCTTACCTACTCCTCTGAGACTTCATTTTCTTATCTGTAAAATGGGTATCAGGGCATGTTGAGACGTTTAATTTGATAATGAAAGTAGAGTATTTAGTACATGTTTGGTGCTTAGTAAGCATCCAGGAAATTTTATGTAAAAGCAACTTACTCTAAACTGAAAAGGAAGCTTTTCTTTAGTCTCATGTTTGTTCATCCTACGGTATTCACAGTGGTAAACTCTTGTGGGCAAAAAGTTTTCTGCAGAAAGTAGGGCCTGATGCATTTGTATTTTGAGAACTAATTCTAGGAAATACAAGTGAAAAACTGAGCCAAGTGGAATGGGGAAGGGTGGAAACAGCAGTGTGCAACTATAGGCAGCTGAGTCTCATGGGGCCTTCTAAGGACCATGTTGAACATCTAAGGAAAGAAAATGGGGGTGACACCTGGGTGGCTTAATGAATTAAATGTCTGCCTTAGGCTCAGGTCATGATGCCAGAGTCCTGGGATTGAGTCCCACATAAGGCTCCTTGTTCAGTGGGGACCCTGCTTCTCCCTCTGCCTGCTGTTCCCCGCTTATACTCTCTTTCTCTCTGTCAAATAAATAAAACCTTAAAAAAATTTGGGAACATTTACTCAACGGCTCCTGTCTTCCATTAACTGGGTTTCAGTGTGGGTGTTAACATCCTTGTGTAATGCAAAAGTGATGAGTGTTGGTTCCAGTAGAGAGCTAACATTATGTCAGAGAATCCCCAGAACAGAAAGTGAGAGTGCAGCCTGAGGGTCAGGTTTTATTTATGCACTGCTTGTTGCTGTACAATGTGAAGATGGTGAAAGAATTTGAGGAGGGACATGAGGTATCCCATACATGATTCTTTATGCAAGCCATGTGCCCTCAGTGACCTTTAAAACTTGAAAGCAATTCAGTCCCAGATTGTTCTGTTTCAAAGCCTACCACTTAAGGACAGTGCTTAAATAATTCCATGTGTGGTAGAGACCAATGTTCAGGTCACCCCATTCTAGTAGATCTAGAAGTGGAATGTGCAAGACCCTCTACGGTAATTTCTCTACTGAACATCCAGTCAGAAAAGACACTCTGTCAGGGTGAACTGAGACCCATGGTTTTGTTTGCTTTTGAGACCCAGGTTTTGAAGAGCACCTTCTTTTAGCTCCTAGGAAACTCAAACAGATCCCATGGTCTCCTTAGTCTCTAGCTGTTGAATTAGAGCCCTCAATGGAGGCAATGAACATTAAAAAAAAAACCTTTTCTCTTTTAAAATAGTTTCAAAAGGTTATGTGTTTATCTCTATGGATGATTTGATACTGCTTATCTGTTTTATAGAATTTTTTATTTTATCTTGAGCTTTTTAACTTTAAAGGGTAAATCACACTTGAAAAGCTTGCTGCTGGAGTTCTAGGAAACCCTCAGAATGCACAAATTCATGTGAAATAGTTGGATTATAACCAAAGGCAAATGTATAAGGAGAAAGTTCAGTTACATGATTCCTTTAATAGTTGGTGTCTGTGTTGGTGAGCATTCCTTTTTCTAAAGTGGCCCAATGAAATTATTAAAACTGAAAGAATCATGGAGATGAAAAATTTCCACCTTCCTATTAAAACAGTGTGTCTTCATTTGAGGTCCATTTAGCCTTTAGGGTGAAAGTGTGTTCCAGACAAATGTCTTTCACATTAGAAACTGTATTAAATTAATTGAAAAATAGATAAACATTGATAATAGTAATAAAACAAGAGAAATGAAGAACAGTAAGAGGTAAATACTTTTAAAATGTTGCTCAAATAGACATTCAATAAAACCACATCTTTCAGACAACATAATTATTTGCATCATAAAAAATTCTAGTGGTTGAAATTTAAAATATTGATTAAAAAGCTTCAGTTGGACTTCAGATCAGCCTAAAAAGAAATTTCCATCTTAATAAAATAGGCAAAACTTTCCTTTTAAACATTAAACTTATTTTTTTAAAAATGTGTTTACTATTCTTGAAAAAGACCTGAAATGGGTCTCTCAGAAGAGTGAGCCTTTCCCATTTTAAACTGAAACCAGCGGAGCAGTGAAGACACAATTCCAAAGCATCCAATATCCAAAAAACAATTTATACACTTCCAAATACCCAGATCTGTAGGTTGATCCTTTAAGAAAATGGGAGAGTTACTGAGCAGTTCTGTGACATTTTTGAGTTTCCTCCTGGTGTCTTGATATCATGAGACTCCAGCCTGTCCTAAGGAATTTGAGAGAAACCACAAAAACACAGTACAGTGCCTAGGTTTATCTAAACTTCTAAGCTTGATTACAGACTTTCAGACATCTTCTGGAAGATCCCTTAAGTCACCAAAGTGATTTTAGTCACCAAATTTAATATTCTCATAACTTAAATTTGACTTCATATAGTCAAGTTTATTTTACACTCTCAGTTACTTACTACTGCAAGTCAATACAGCACAGGAATTAATGCATTTGTGCCTTCAACTCAAATAGCAAACACTGCTGTTTGTGAACTTTTTTGGCCAATGAATAAAAAATATTTCATTTCTAATTCTCACCAGAAGGATTTAAATTAAACAGTAACAGATGAAGTGGGCAGGCACAGAATACTAAATAGGAACTGGCAAATGAAATAATCCAGGTCTTTGCTTTTACAATGAAAATGAGAATTGATTCTGCATTGAGAGAGAGAAGTAAAAGGACCAAGTGTTTTAAAAAAAGCCTTCTCCACCAAAAGAGCAAAATAGCACTCAGTGGCATTGCATTGTTAACAAAATTTCTTTATCAGAAACTATAATTTAATATTTAAGTATCTAATTTACATGTGACAAGGTATCATATTCAAAAAATTAAATCGCAACTAGAAAACTATTAACCACTAAAAACAATACCAAACACAACCCAAACATTTATAGGAAAGCAATAGCTAGAATCTGAATTGGAAAAAATGTTTCATCATTTTTGGCTCATTAAACAAAGTATCCATTATAGCCTGTAAAAGAGCATCTCTTCTAATTCATCAGAAGTTTATCCTTTGTAGCATGAATAATTGTAAAGATAGATTTATTGACAGTATGCACACGTGTCTATATATTGTGAGACATACACTCGTGTGTTGATTTAAAGATACTGTATCTACTGATAACTGGCTGAACTTTGGAAGGTGCTGAAATCCATATTTCTACATGACCTTTGACCCATTTAATAATGTCTTTTTATAAACAAATTACATAAAATACTCTGTTTTTTATTAACTGAATATTTTCTTAAGCATAATAATAGACAATGAAGGAATTGCACTTATTGTAAAGATACAGTAAGGTGTAAGGCTGCAGCTCAGCCATCAGAGATCAGGGATGTGGTACTGATAAGTATGCATCATATGCAAAGATGATCCAGGTGGCCACTGAAATTAAAATGAGGGCAACTAGTTACAGAACAAATTGGGGGATAACAGAAGAAAACATGCACTACTCCTACTTTAATGCAAAACTAATTTCTCCCAGGAAACCAACCCTTTGACCTTTCTTACACAAAGAAACAGGTTCTGCACCCTTGGCAACACAGTAGACTTGGACATCTGTATTCAAATTCTAGTTCATTGTCTCTGAGTGTGCTGTTCCAGTGTCATCTCCTTAAGCTGCCCTTGAAATTCTGGAGCATGTACAATATTACAGTCTCTTGGTTAGGTTTCATTGAGCCTCAAGATCCCCTTCAGTTCTATATAAATAGGGTCCATTATTCATCTTCTTCTGGTTCCTGCGGTAACACAGAGATTTCTTCCTTTAAACAATCACTGAAGAATCTGAGGATTGTGCTGTAGAGATGATACTTGCTCTTCTCAGATACATTATGGCCTTCATCTGGATAGACCTAAGATATTGTGGGGGAAAAAGATCAAGTTACCAAAACAGACACTGTCCTTCAGCATTCCTTCAGCCCCAGTGGCAAGGGAACTTTGGAAAGTAGTATCTGACCAAAATCTGACCTTATAAAACTCTGGGTTCTTTGTGCTAAACTTTTCTCTTGTTTCTCAATTATAATCTAAGTAATTGAGACAAGCTACGTTTTTTATGTATTTAAATTAAAACTCATTGGTCAGAAAAAGTAGAGCTTTCTATGTTCCTGTTGGCCAGGACAGCATTAATATTCCCCTTAATTTGACTAAACTTGAGAAGCATTTCTTCCTGACTCTAGGACCTTGACCTTCCTTTTCTTAGATCTGTTTTAGAAAATTTGGGATTGTAAATTCTCTGCCCTTTTGTGTGTAAATCTTCTTCCAGTCTTGCCAGTTCTATAGTTCAGGAAAGCTCTTTCTCACGGATCTAAAAACGATCTCTCTGGAATGTAAAAATTGTAGGAGAGAGCAGCCCTGTCTCTGTGGGAGGGTAGAACTCTTGCTCCAAGTTGTAAAACTACCCCCTATCATAAACAGAAAGTTTACTTTTCCTTTTGGTAAGGTGAACTACCCAACACAGATGACCTGTGATTTCTACCTCCCCAGTTACTATAAACTCCCAGCCCAATGTTTCAACAGAGTTTAGTTGTTCTCTCCTATTGCAATTGTCTTAAATAAAGCCTGCCTTGTCTGTTTAACCTTGTTCGGTATAAGTTTTAATTTGACAGTGTCCCCTCTAATAAAAATGACATGAGTAATTTTTCTAAAATTACAAATACAGATATTTGTCAATTCCTGAGTATAAAGTTTTTATTTCTTTAATGTTTTTCATTTGTACTTTTTGCTATTAAGATGATATCAACTTTTACTTACTTTTTATTTTTTTAATTCTTTTTCAAACTCTTTAATTCCAGTTAACACACCGTGAGTGTTCTATTAGTTTCAGATGTACAACACTGTCAATGAACAGTTCCATACAAAAAATATGGAACATTTCACAAATTTGTGTGTCATCATTACACAGGGGCCATGCTACCTACCCTTCTCTGTTTCATTCCAGTTTTAGAGTCTGTGCTGCCAAAGCAAGCACCTGGGGATAAAGTTTTTAAATGGAGCCTCAGTGATCTAAATAAAGCCCTACTCCTTTACATTGTTTGTGGCATTATCTATCATCTGTTTATCTCAACATCATCTTCGTTCATCATCCTAACTCTGGTACCTGTGCTTATGGATATGTTGAATGACTTTTGGTTCTTTCAAATGCTGAGAAATGAAAATTGCTTTTTTTTTTTTTTTTTTTTTTCTTCCCCTGCCTTCTGTGACTCTTCCCTCGGACTAAAAGTCCTCAAAGGTGTAAAGTCTGTCTTACCTACCTAGCATAGTGACCACTAAAAAGTAAGTCCTTGGTACTATTTACTACATGTGGTTGAATGTAAAGATGTAAATGTTTTCTCCTTTCCTTTTTTTCTCAATATCTCCTCAAGCCACTTTTTTCCCTACCTTTTATGATAAAGGTGACTGAAGGTGAGGGGGAAACGAAGAGACTAGAAGGGAAATAGAACATATCTCTTTTAAAACAATTCATTATTAGTGATAGAAATAAAAGTCTGAGAAGAAAAAGAAATTCTTGAAAGTTTTTGCAGTTCACATAAAGCATGAGCTGATCTATCTTCTCAGCATAATTAGGATTAAAAAACCTCACAATCTTTGGTACCTAAAAACCACAGTTAAAATAATAGCATGGGGGATGGAGTAGTACAGAAACTATGTTCTATATCTCACAACTGTAAAACCAAGGTAGGAAAATAGTCTTGTGAAAAAGTGACTTACCTGCATAGTATAATTCACTCCAGCTTTTATTAGGTGTTTGATTAATTCTGCTGAGTGCTGGAAATGGACTTTTGCTGTAAGAAATTAAATTCTATTATTTGATGCAGCTGCATTTATTAGAATTAGAGCTTTTTATATCATTTTTTTCGAAGAGATTAATTAACATACTTTACATACATTGCACATTTAACAGACTGATACCTGGCATGGGGTGCCTGGGTGGCTCAGGTGTCTGCCTTCAGCTCAGGTCCTGATCCTAGGGTCCTGGGATCAAGCCCTGCATCAGGCTCCCTGCTCAATCAGGAGTTTGCTTCTTCCTCTCCCTCTGCCCCTTTTCCCACTCATGCTCTTTCTCTCTCCCTCTATCTCAAATAAATAAAAACCTTTAAAAAATAATAAAAGACTTGAAAATTAGTAAGATACAATGCTGATGAAACGTTAATAAGATCTATAAAAAATACTATACATTATAAAAAATAAACTGAAGCAGAAGCTACTGCTAAGGCTCTATTATTAAACTTAAATACAGCATAGTATTTAAGTTTACTTTATCATTTATTATTTCTAAATTGCTCACATACGTTATACAATTATAATAATTTTAATGCAGTGAGTACCTATCTGCATAGTAATACAGCAAACCATCTTTCTGTTCCTTTCTGAGGATTACTGGGGCCCAGTCTCCATTAGATATTGATATTCTGTTTTATTTTAAATGAGAAAAAAACTGCACCATGTTGAGAAATTAGAGTCATCATCTCATTATTGAAGGGCTCAGTGTTTAAAGTGGATCATACTGATTTCTCCTGCTTCCTACTAGCTTCCCTCTTTGCCTGAACCTGAGGTCCAAACTCAGAAATATTCAGTACTAGACCAGGGTTGTACAGGTTGTAGAACTAAGGGTTGTATAGAACTGAGTAGCTGTGAAATCTTGGGTGCGTCACTCCAATCTGTTTGTAGAGCACTTGGCTCATATGCTGCCTAACCTTTTATTCCTATACTTTGTGCATTTTCAAATTTCTGTAAGGAACTTTTTTAAAAATTTTATTTATTTATTTGAGTGAGAGAGAGAGAGCACGAGCAAGGGAAGGAAGCAGACTTCCCGCTGAGCAGGGAGCCCATAACTGGGCTTGATCCCAGGACCCTGGGATCATGCCTGACCAAAGTCAGATATTTAACTGACTGAGCCACCCAGGACCCTGTCAATAAGTTTAAGGTAAACTTTTTAAAGTGTCATTGTCAAACTAGGTCAGCCTTATTAATTTAAGCTGCTTCATTGCTCTAATGCTATGATACTGGTTAATCCTACCATATAGCAAATAATAAAAGATTCCAAAGATCATTTAAATCTTTTCAAAATCTACCCAAGATCCTTTCACTGTCTTCCTGTTGTATATCATGGGACTATTACCATGTTACTTTTAAATAAATTTGCAAATTGCTCAATAAATGTAAGTTATGAGAAATGCTGATAAGTTGGGGCAATGACTAAGGTAAAATGACCCTTATATGGCTCATTTGTTACTGAAAAAAAAGTTTGAAAAGGACTTGATCATTTGTCTGCATGGTTGTAGCTGAAAAGATAAATGTGCAAAAGTATAGTTGGGATTTTTTTTGTATCGTTTCTGGTATAAAGCCTGTTGATATTTGTTATTTGTCTACTTCCTATAACAGGAATATTAAAGGTCTAATTGTCTTAGTGAACTACTTTGCTGGTGGTTTTCAACAATGATATGAATAAAGGTAGTAGTATGTCATTGAGCACCTATTACCCACCCGGCCCATGTGAGGTGTGTGTATATGTGTGTTTATGCTTATCCTTTGAGGTGACAGTCCTGAACCTGTGTTTGCATTTGATCAGGGAGGTGAAGAACCAGATCCATGCCTAAGTGAGGTAGGAAGAGCATGATTTACCTTAATAGCTGCAACATATTGACAGAGAAATTTGAATAGCACTAATATATTCTAGGGTAATGGCCAGACGTGAAATAATTTAACCTCAAATATAATTTATTCTCACAGTTGAAACTTCAAAGCACAATGAAAAAGAGGCTTCATGCCAGATTCCAATCCCCTTTCTATAAATTAGTGGTTATGTGATTTTTTGTCATGTTATATAAATTCCATAATATTTATTTTCCCAATCATTGAAACAAGATAATAGCCCTTGCTGCACAATATTTTTGTGAAAAACAGATAGTATAACATGAAAAACTTTGGAACATTTTCTGAAATAGTCTCAGTACTTAATTTCTACTTTTTGTTATAACTATTAATATGCATGTAAGATTGTAATACCTTGGAACAAAATTCTAATGTCCATCAAAATGTTTATCCTTTTACATATGTTTCATCCAACACAGGTATGGCATCATCTAAGTTCTTTTTTTTTTTAATTTTATAATAGTTGTAGGTTTTTTAAAAAGTTGCAAAGACAGTACAGAGAGCTCATTTAGATCCCTTATCTGGTTCCCACTATTGTTCACATCTCACATTATTATGGTTCATTTGTTAAAAAAAAGAAACATTTAGATATCATGATGCCTTAACTTCTTACAATCCATGAGAAATTTTCAGACTTGTCTTTGAGGACCTTGACAATTCTGAGGAGTATGGATTAAAATTTTTCTCATTTTGTTTGGGTTTGCCTGATATTTTTCTCATGGGTAGTGTGAGGTTACGGGTTTGGGGGACAAGAGAGAGTACCATTCTCATAAAGTGACATCAAGGCTGCATACCATCAACATGACTTGTCACTGTTGATGTTAACCTTGATCACCTGGCTGAGATGCTATTTATCAAGTTTCTCCATCATATTCTTTCTTCCCTTTTCCACACAATACTCTTTAGAAGCAAATCACTGAGTACAACCCATTTTGATAGGGGAAAAAGAAAGTTAAGTTTTGCCTCCTTGAGGGTGTGTACCTACACAAATTTGGAATTCTACCTCAGGGGGATTTTTGTCTCTTCTCTCCCATTTACCTATTTATTGAAATACACCACACATGTTTTATTTATATATATATATATACATATATATATATATATATGTATATATATATATATGATACATATGTACACACACACACAAACAGCATGTGTGTATATATATTTCACCTATATATGCATGTATCAAGATATATCTATATCTGCATCTATCTATCTCCTGTGTATGTGTATATATATGTATATATGTATATATGTATATATGTACATAAGTATTGATCTAAACTCTAATCATGACCCGGCATGCTGTAAGATTAAGTTAAAGGGCTGATATTATCTTTGCTATAAGACCTTTTTACTTATATTCTCTGTAAAATGGGGTAAAACTACTGATGCAGGACAGGATGGACCAACAAAAACAAGTTCAGATATTAGGAAATAGTGATTCAAGGCTTTGACTCTCTGCTTACTATTCAGATAGCCTTGGTTAAATCAGTTTCCTCCTTGAAACTGATTTTTCTCATCTGTGAATAGGGCTATAAATACTCTGCCCTCTGTTGTAAAGTATCACATAAATATGTAAATACATATTTATATGTATATATGTGTGTGTGTATTATATATTCTTTGACCCCTAAATACTTCAACATGAATATAATATTATATTTATTACTAGTAATATCACATCCCTCTCCAATGTTTAAAGTGATGAAAAAAGAAGTGATATAAACATGCATTTTAAAAAGTTTTTGTTTTAACTGTGAGTGATCCTATCAGAATTTTATCTCTGTGCTGGAATCTTTTTGCTATCCTGTTGTTTTCTCAGTTACTTTCAATTTGAAGTGTGCTGAATAACACCACAGTGATAGTGAACTAGCCATACATGGGTATTAAATTTTTAATTAATTAGAAATAAACAATTTAAAATTCCCTTCCTGATCATATTAAACACATTTCAAGTACTCAAGAGCCATATGTGGCTGGTGGCTACAGTGTTCTACAGCACATATACGGAACATTTCCATCATCCCAGAACGTTTTACTGGATGGCGTTGCCATCAGGCCACATAGCTTCTTTCTCTTGGTCCTGACATCCTTCTTACTTCCTATCATACATTGGATTCTTTGTGCCACTATCCTCTTCTGTCTTCTTCAGGAAGTTTACAGGGCCGCTTATAAACAAGTTCTTAAATGTACCCCTTTGTTCAGAGTCAGACCCCAATAAAGAGCAGCAGCCAATATAATACTTACTGTCAGCAGTCCCATGAATTATTAATATATTTTCTTCTTTTAAGCCGTGAATATTATGTAGCA